CGCAATGTTGAGGGGCCCCGTGGTGTCGGCAACGACGCCTCAGCGAAGGGCCGAGGGCGTCGCCATCGTCGTCGTCGCCGATCGAGGTTCGAATGTCGAGGATGCGGCTTCTAGAGGAGCAAAAGCAACTGCATAAACATCAAATTTTCGGACGCGGACTTTTTAGACCGGCGCTGATACCCTTGGCGGCGCCTCTGGCGCCGCCCCGGGCGCGCCAGGGAGGGGGGTCCACCAGTTTGAGAAATGCGCACGAACCTCCAAAAGTGCATGTTTATTATGTCGGGGGTTCTTCGTCGAGCTTCGGGGATCGAGTTTTTGAAAAACTCCTGGCCTTCGTGGGACTTCGTGAGGAGCCTGGAGAACCCACAGAGGCTTCTGGAGAGCTGAGGATGAAGCGGCACGAAGTCCTCGGTAGCTTTCAGCGGTCGCAAACGTTTATGAATGGTTTCGGGAGGGGGGACACTTTCGAAGGTTCCAAGGGCCTTCCGGAAACGCTCTCAGATGAGTTCAAGATTGCGGAACCGCTCTGGTGCTGTGAATAGTTTCCGCACCACGGACAAGGAAGAAGACGCATCAGGCGAATGCAGAACTATCGCCGAGCCCCTGCTCAACAAGCTATCCTGCGAGCGTGGCCGAAAAAAACGCCAGCCGAAATCGGCCGCGGGGCGAGGAGACCACAAATCTGCATTAACACTGGACACGGACAGACGGGGGCAGGAGAAGAGGAAGGAGAGGGAAGCGGTAAGGGTGCTCCAAGACACCAGGTGCAGCGTTCGGGCCAACCTGCGATAGGCGAGCCGTCCCGCGCGACCCCGGCATTCAAATCTTGCCGAAAAGCAAAACTTCAGAGCAAAGCCCGAGCTCCGTGAAATGACCACGTAAACTAAGGGGGCCCAGAGGTGGATGAAAAAGGAGGGGGAGAGAGCGATCAAGGTCAAGCGCTCGGAAACCCCCCACGAGCGCAGCTCCAGTCGGAGCGAAACAAGCAAACGATCAAGAATGCGTATGGTGGAGAAGCGGCAGCGACGGCAGCGGCAAGGGAGGGAAGGAAACGAGACGAGCAAAAAACACAGACCGTCCAAATAGAAAGGTCATCGGAAATGTCCGACCGAGAGATTTCACAAGCTGCCCGAAGTTCTAGATACTGTCAGAAACGTTCGGAAACATCCGACGCTTCTCGGCCATGTTCGGGAGCTCTCGGGCCATTTTCGACAGCTACGAGCAATCTGTGGCGGTGGACGATTATGAGTGCGAGAAAAGATGCGCACATCTTGACGCAAACGCTGACGCGCGATGATGCAGGCCGGCTCCGGGCACCCAAAGGACTTCAAGCATCTGTTCGGGATGAATGGGCGGCCCTCGAGAACGGTCGAAAGGTCCACGGGACCAGCCTGGGCAAAAATCCGTCCGCCCGATGCTTGGGGCCGCGGGCGAGGCTATGATCCGCCTCGTCGTCCTCATCCTACTCTTTCTCTGGAGCACCACCTTCATCGTCGTCGCCATGCTCACCACAACCACCACAATCAGCAGCATCAACAAGATCACCATCGTCAAAAGCATCACCATCGCCATCGCCATCGTCACCATCAATATCCACAGCACCATCATCATCAGCAGCAGCAGCGTCATCATCATCATCATCATCATCATCATCATCATCATCATCATCATCATCATCACCATCATCGTCATCATCACCATCATCACCATCGCCATCACCATCACCATCACCATCACCATCACAATTACAATCCTCATCGTCATCGTCATCAGCATCATCATCAGCATCATCATCAGCATCATCATCGTTATCTTGAACACCTTCATCATCGTTATCGTCATGATCACAGCAACAACAACGCAGGGACTGGTCCCTGGCATCTGGGGACAGGGTGCCAGGTTTCCGGCCTCGCCAGCCTGGCGAGGACGGGACCCTAGCACCGTGTCCCCAAGTTGCGAAGGGGGGGGGTCGCAACCGCCATCGCGCAACCAGCACCATCACACACGAATGGAATTGAAACAATCAGGCGAGAACAATCTCAGTTCTAAGCAAAGCATAAATGGGTGCGCCAGCGAAGCGAACTCGTGCAGCTAACCATTTGGAATCCTACTACAGCTGGGTACAACTCAAATAGGATGCAGTTCGAACCGGATCCTACAAGAGCTGTGCCCATCTCGAATAGAATGCTACCATAGCTGTGTCCAGCTCGAATAGGATCATCTACTTCTATTCGACCCAGTTCTGATATCCGCCGATCCGGCGTGTGAGTTCCTGCCTGAGAGCGTGGGCTTGAGCTCGCTCAAGCTTCGCTCTGGCGAGGGGGGGGGGGCTGACGCGAGCTGACGCGAGCTGACGCGAGCTCACGTTTTTCCGGCCCCAGGACCCGGGACCCGCGACCCGGGGCCGGCGCGGGACCCGAGACCCGGGACCAGCGCGGGACCCGGCACCCGGGATCGTCCCGGGACCCGACCGGCGCGAGACCCGGGACCCGCGACCCAGGACCGGCTCGAGCGGAACCCGGGACCTGGCTGGGACGACCGCCGTGGGACCCGGGACCCGGGACGGGCGCGAGCCCCAGGACCCGGCACCGGCGCGGGACCCGGCTCTGGCGAGGGGGAGGGGGGGGCTCACGCGAGCTGACGCGGGCTGACGTTTTTCCGGCCCCGGGACCCGGGACCCGCCACCCGGGACCGGCGCGGGACCCGAGACCCGGGACCGGCGCGGGACCCGGGACCCGGCACCCGGGATCGTCCCGGGACCCGACCGGCGCGAGACTGGGGACCCGCGACCCGGGACCGGCTCGAGAGGAACCTGGGACCCGGCTACCGGCGCGGCACCCGGGACCCGGGACCGGCGCGGGATCTGGGACCTGCGACCCGGGAACAGCGCGGGACCCGGGACCCAGGACCAGCGCGGGACCTGGCACCCGGAACCCGGGACCGGCGCGGGACCCGACACCCGGGACCGGCGCGGGACCCGAGACCCGGGACTCCGGACCCGGGACCCGGGACTGGCGCGGAACCCGGAACCCCGAACCCAGCACGAGCGCCGGACCCGGGACCCGCGACCCGGGACCGGCGCGGGACCCGAGACCCGGGACCGGCGCGGGACCCGGAGCCCAGCACCCGGGACCGTCCCGGGACCCGACCGGCGCGAGACCCGGGACCCGCGACCCGGGACCGGAGCGGAACCGGGGACGCGGCCGGGACCGCCGTGGGACCCGGGACCCGGCCGGGCGCAGGACCCGGGACCCGGAACCGGCGCGAGCACCGGGACCCGGGACCATCGCAGGACATGGGGCCTGCAGGGACGAGCGCGGACGCGGGACCCGGGACGAGCGCGGAACCGGGAACCCGGGACCGTCGGCGCATCATCATCATCATCATCATCATCATCATCATCATCATCATCATCATCATCATCATCATCATCATCATCATCATCATCATCATCATCATCATCATCATCATCATCATCATCATCATCATCATCATCATCATCATCATCATCATCATCATCATCATCATCATGCTCCCTTTTTCCAGCTCAGGCGGGCCAGGTGGCGAGGCTTCGAGACGCTGCAGGCGCAAGAGGCTGCCGCCCGGGGATTTCCGATCCGCGGGCGGCCACGGACATCAACTGAAATTTCGGACTCATGCAAGGACGAAGGGAAAGCGAGGGGGGGAGGGAGGGAGCTTGAGCGAATACGTCAACGGAAATCGCAGACGGGCGGCCCGCAACGCTTCCAAAGGAGCAACCCTGTTCGAAGAACGACTTATGCTCCCTTTTTCCAGCTCAGGCGGGCCAGGTGGCGAGGCTTCGAGACGCTGCAGGCGCAAGAGGCTACCGCCCGGGGATTTCCGATCCGCGGGCGGCCACGGACATCAACTGAAATTTCGGACTCATGCAAAATGCTGCAAATTGCACAGCTGAACTGGCAACGCCGAGAATGCATCTACAAAATAGCCAGAATATGCATGAGTCCTCCAGCGCTCGAGCAGCGCGGCCAATCAGAGCGGAGAACTGCCCAGCCCGGGACCTGGCCTTTTCGTCTGCGCACGCTCTGGCGAGGATGTTGCAGAGCTTCCGAGGATATGCTTCTGCCAACTTGGTGCGGAATCTGCCTGAAGCGTCCTTCCCGGACAGCTCCTGATGCTTCTGCCCGGTGATGACACAAACGGGCCCCGTACACCTGAACTTGGCCAAGGGCGCCAGGTCGAGGAGAAACGCCACGATCTCGGTGCTCTTCCTCCAGGGCGCCCCGAACCGGCAGTACTCGATCACCTGGGACGTGACCTGCCGGCGTCGGAGCAGAGACTGCATCGGCGGCAGCTGCCACGCGTAGCTCAGAGCGGGGTTCTCGAGGGACCAAGGGACGAAACACTGGCAGCTCAACACGCAGAAAGATATTGTGAGCCGCGCGTACAAGTTGCCCCACTTGACTTTCTGAAAGTCGGCGCCCTCCACGGGGAGACTGGGCAGCCCCCAGACGTGCTCCTGCGATCGGAGCCGGGGTGGGCCGTTGGGGCGGTCTCGTGCCCGCGAGAAAGTCTCGCAGGGAAAGCCAGCATGCATGCCGCAGACAAGCCCCGCCCGAATCCAGCCCCGAATGAGGCGGGCGTTCCTGGGGTCGCGCAGGTCGTAGGCGGGGCCGTATACGATGTCCCAGCGCAGGGTGGGGACATTCCCCCGTCCCACGGCGTCGGACAGGTGGCCCGAGCCCGCGAACAGCTCGAGGAACACGGCGACGGTGGGCGCCCTCAGCGGCCCAAAGATGGCGTCCGCCTCTCCCGCAACACGTCGGGGAGCTCTTGCGCGGCCGCAGCGGCCGCTCGCGGCACGTCGGGCGGCGGGCGGCGCAAGAGGCCGGCCAGGCGCCCCTTGTGCCGGCAGCGCTGGAGGCGCTGGGTCCACCGCCACCGCCCGCGGCGCCGGATCTCCTCCAGCCGCCGGGCGCCGATTGCGAGGTCGACGCTCGCTCCCGTGTGCCGGAAGCGATAGGCGTCGAGTGGCCCGAAGGGCCCCAGGCGCCAGGCG